GCAGATTGGCTAGGGACCTCATGACCCAAGGAACAATAAGGTAGTAAGTTTTCTGGGCTTTTCTTTTTTTTTTTTGAGACAGAGTTTTGCTCTTGTCACCAAGGCTGGAGTGCAATCGCGCGATCTTGGCTCACTACAACCTCTGCCTCCTGGGTTCAAGTGATTTTTCCTGCTTCAGTCTTCCAGTTAGGTGGGATTACAGGTACCCACCACCAAGCCCAGCTAATTTTTGTATTTTTAGTAGAAATGGGGTTTCACCATGTTGGCCAGGCTGGTCTCGAACTCCTGACCTCAGATGATGCACCCACCTCAGCCTCCCAAAGTGCTGAGATTACAGGTATAAGCCACTGTGCCCAGCCATCTGGCCTTTTCTTTGCACCATATATTCTAGATGGGGTACTAGAAAAGCTAACAACCTGGAAACATCAACACGTGTAGAAGAGTAACAACAAAAAAGTAGAATGAAGACAGGAAAATTATTTTACTTGAAGATAGAAAAATAGAAATTATCAAATCATAACACCGTAAGTAAAATAGACTTAAAAAGACAGAACCTCAGGGACATGTGGACTATAACAAAAGACCTCACATTCATGTCTTCAGAGTTCCAGAAAGAGAGAAGAAAGAGGGAGGGCTGAAAAATATTCAAGAATTGCAAAAAATTTACCAAATTTGGCAAAAGATATATAAGCCTACAAATTTAAGAAGCCAACTTGAGAAGCGTGGTTAAGGGTGGGAGTACCCCCATTGGGATGATGAGAATTACATGAAACTTTACTGACACTGAATGTTGGGATCCTCTATCTTCTATCCCCCGACTCTGCTTCTAGAACACAGGCAGCTAAGGCATATCCCTACAGGAATGAGATTTGAAAGATTTTTGTATGATCATATGTAAAAAAAAAAAGACCTAATGATACCGACTAACAACAGAAAGAGCCAGGGCAGATCAACCAGTGAAGAGGAGATGAGGAGGAGAAGAAAGGAAGGGAGAAGAGAGAATGGGTTAGAGGTTGGTGCCAAGAACAGAAGAAAGCAAATTGTCAAATTGTGAAAGTTTCTCAGACCCAAAGGACATAAATTTCTAGACTGAAAGGGCCCACTTAGTGTCCTGCACATAGTGAAATTTGGGAATACTGGGGCCAAAGAGAAGGTTCAATAATATTCCAGAGAGAAAAAAAGATAGGTTTATATAAAGAATCAAGAGGCAGAATGGCACCATACATCAGACTTTTCTCTTTTTAGACATAGTCTTGCTGTGTTGCCCAGGCTGGAGTGCAGTGGTGCAATCTTGGCTTACTGCAGCGTTTGCTTCCCAGCCTCAAGCAATTCTTGTGCCTCAGCATCCTGAGTAGCTGGGATCACAGGCATGTGCCACCACATCCAGCTAATTTTTGCACTTTTGGTAGAGATGGTTTCACTATGTTTGCCAGGCTGGTCCTGGCCTCAAGAGATCCTCCTGCCTCAGCCTCCTAAAGTGCTGGGATTACAGGTATAAGCCACCATACCTAGCCCAGACTTTTCAGTAGTAATTCCTAGTTTTAAAAGCTATGAAAATATATTTTCAAAAATTTTAGGGAAAGTGATACTCTATTGTACAATTTTATACCTAGTCACACTATAAGAGTAGAAAGACATTTTCAAGTATGTGAGGTCTCAAAAGTTATGTCCAATGTACCCTTTCTTGGGAAGTTAATGGATGTCATCTGCAGTCAAAGAAGTAAATCAAGAAGTACGAAGACATCAGATTCAAAATGCAGAAAAGCCACAACATACGAGAAAAACAAAGGGGATTCCTAAGATGATGGCATAGTGATAACAGTTATGTACATAGCAGGCCTAGGGAGCCAATTCAAATTAGAACTAGTCAGAAAACTCTGGAAGAATGCTTTAAATAAAATGAAGCCAGTATTTTATTTTAAACACAAAATATATTTTTGTAGCTTTGAATATATTGAAAAGAAATTTTTACAACTTAAGGAATTTGTGGCTAAATTAATGAAAGCCACATAGAAAATGAGCAAATGAAAAGCAATACAATTATTGACTGCTGGGAAAACAACATTTTTTGCAGGAAAGAAAAATCAGCTTATACTATATGGCTCACCTGTGAATCACATTTTTCAAACCTATTAAGGTAAAAGCTGAATACTTAAGATATAACCATGTTGGTGAATGAAAGGCCAAGAGGGAGTGGTTGTATATGACGAAAATGAGGAAAAATGAAAGAGACAACTAAATTCTTATCTTTCAGAGTTGGAAGTCAATATCCAATGCCAAAAACTGAAAAAAAAGTTTAAATAGCAATAAAAGCATATTATTTAAAGATAAAGATATAAATGTCAAAAAATAATCAGCTAAAAGAGTTAAAAATGGTTGCCTCTGAGGAACAAGAATTAGAGGGTAATAGAAGACTGTCAAGGAATTCCTTCCTTCCTTTCTTCCTTCCCTCCCTCCCTCTCTCCCTCCTTCTTTCTTTCTCTCTCTCTTTTTCTTTCTTTCTTTCTTTCTTTCTTTCTTTCTTTCTTTCTTTCTTTCTTTCCTTCCTTCCTTCCTTCCTTCCTTCCTTTCTTTCATTTCTTCCCTTTCTTTCTTGCTCTGTTGCCTAGGCTGGAGTGCAGTGGTGCGATCTTGTCTCACTGCAACCTCCACCTCCCAGGTTCAAGCGATTCTCCTGCCTCAGCCTCCTGAGTAGCTGGGATTACAGGCACACACCACCACAACTGGCCAATTTTTGTATTTTTCAGTAGAGACAGGGTTTCACCATGTTGGCCAGGCTGGTTTCGAACTTCTGACCTCAGGTGATCCATCTACCTCGGTCTCCCAAAGTGCTGGGATTACAGGTATGAGCCACCATGCCCAGTCTGAACTCTATTTTTCATAACAAACCTGGTACAGCTATTTGATTCTAAACTGTATGCATGTATAATACCGGAAAAAAAAAAAAAAAAAAAAACTAGGCCAGGCCAGGTACAGTGGTTCACACCTGTAATTCCAGCACTTTGGGAGGCTGAGACAGGAGAATCACTTGAACTGGAAGGTGAAGATTGCAGTGAGCTGAGTTTGTGCCACTGCACTCCAGCCATGGCAACAAAGTGAGACCCTGTCTCCAAAAAAAAACCCAAAAAACAAAAAAAACCTCGGCCAGGAATGGTGACTTTATGCCTGTAATCCTAGCACTTTAAGAGGCCGAGGCAGCAGGATCATTGGAGGCCAGGAATTCAAGACTAGCCTGGGCAACATAGTGAGACCCTGTCTCTATAAAAAAAAAAAAAAAAAAAAATTGAGCATGGTGGCACATGTAGTCCTAGCTAATTGGGAGGCTGAGAGGAGAGGATTGCTTGAGCCCAGGAGTTTGAGCTGCTGTGAACTATGATTGTGCCACTGCACATTAGCCTAGGCAACAGAGTGAAACCCTGTTTCTTAAAAAAAGAGAGAGAACTAAAATATTAAAATACAAGGCTCAGTATCATATTTCATAAAGATTCTTTGGAAATATATTTTTGTCCTGTCACAAATATGGATTGTTGATCATTTATTATCTGCAGACACCCAGTTTTAAATTGTTATTCTATTTTCCTAGTTTTCTTCAGTCCCATAACTGCTTTTAAGAACAGAATTTATATTAAATTAATTATAAACTTTGTATTTCAAAGTTTAGTTAATGATTTGAAGATATTTCCTGTATTTAAATGATTATTGTTTTATTATTAATGGTGTTATACTTGCTGATACTTAAAATATGTTTTTTTTGATATAACTCTGCCAAAAAATGAAGAATTTCATTGCCTATGTACTTAAAATTTTCAGAATTGATTTTGGAAGTGTTTGTATTAATACTAATTTTGTGCCAACATTTTTTTTTTTTAGATGGAGTCTCGCTCTGTCGCCAGGCTGGAGTGCAGTGGCATGATCTTGGCTCACTGCAACCTCTGCCTCCTGGGTTCAAGCGATTCTCCTGCCTCAGCCTCCTGAGTAGCTGGTATTACAGATGCACATCACCACACCCAGCTACTGTTTGTGTTTTTAGTAAAGATAGAGTTTCACCATGTTGGCCAGGATGGTCTTGATCTCCTGACCTCATGATCCACCCGCCTTGGCCTCCCAAAGTGCTGGGATTACAGGCATGAGCCACTGTGCCCAGGAGTTCGAGGCCAACATTTTAAAATTTGTGTTAATATGTAATATAACTTATTAAAATTTTTTAAAACTGCTATCAACTTTGGTTCTCACACACTGATTTTCAGACAAGTGCAGGGAAGTATTACTATACTATGGTGAAATAGGAAGAGTAAACACCATGTAGCATGTTGTCCATGAAGCTCAATCAACTTGAGAAGTTTACTCTTTATGTCCTTTCTGCTTTTTTGTTTTTCTAATGTTTGAATAGTCATTCTTTTACCAATGATGCCCATGATGTCATACAGATAGCAAGGCTTTTTTTTTTTAACATGCTTTTATGGCAAAATTTGTCCAAGAATTTTTTTATAATATTAGCTGGGCACAGTGGCATGTGCCTGTAGTCCCAGGTAGGTTCTCAGGAGGCTGAGGTAAGTGGAGACTTGAGCCCAGGAATTTGAGGATGAGTGTGCAATGATTACACCTGTGAATAGCCACTGCACACTAGCCTGAGCAACACAGTAAGACCCTGGCTTAAATATATATGTATAAACATATATATACAACACTATTTTATGAAATCTCAAAGTCTGGCAACTCAATCTTAGAAATAAATAATGTAGGAGATACAGAATTACTTCCATGAAACTGAAAAAATGTGTTTAAAAAATAGGGTTTGAAAACTATTGATAATATATTTAATATTGATCTATAATTGTAACCGAGTGAGTCACGAAAGAAGCGTCACACTGAGTTCAAATTGCAAGTCCTTTATTAGCCAGTGACTGAGAGTCAGTTCACGCTCAAAATCTCTCTCTTATCAGTAAACTCCTGTGGTTTACTGATACTTATAACTGTATCTCTTATGATATTTATCTTAGGTAACTTGTGGACTGTACCAAGACTCATCATCTCATTTCAAAGTTGCTGTTTCTGTCGCTGAGCCCCTTTCTTCTAACATCACAAATATTCCAAGAGATTTGGTTGATGAGATTTTGGAGGAACTGGAACACAGTGTGCCTCTTTTGGAAGTGTATCCTGTTGAGGGACAAGATACTGATATACGTGATATTGCTTTTGCCTTGGAAGTTGTCAGGTATTAGGGCCTTTACTTTTGAAAGTTAAATGATCATATTCAAAAGTTGATGTGAAAGTTTTGTTCATATAATCACTTTATAAGTATTTACTGATTTAATTTTTACTCACTACTACTGGATTAAATTTGTCAATTTTAAATTAATATATTATATTTGTAACTTTTAGTAAAAACATTTCCTTACAGAAACATATATGGGTAATGAAAAGATTGCAATTTTTTGATCTTGGATTTTACGAAAATCAAATTTGAAAGAATTCTTGAAATAAGTAAAATTAACTTGTATTCATATTTAACCATATTAAATACATTAGCATTTCTCACATTTAAGGGCATTACAAATACTATATATCATCATTCACATTATGATTACTTCTTATAAGGTGATACAATTTGAGGGAAGCTATCCACAAACAGAATACAGAATATTTCTGGCATGTTTTTGTTTTTCTAATGTTTTCTTCCCATACAAATTTGATAGTATTGTACATATTATTTATTTGTTGAGCAAGTAGTAGCCAAAATCTATGAAATTTAGAAACTGAATTTTACAGTCTCACTTCTAGAAACATTATCTCATTTATAGTAACCTAAAATAGAATGCAAATCATCTAATTTTTAAAGTTTTACCTGGAGAACGATCCAAGATGGCCAATCGCTAACATCCTGGGATTGCAGCTCTCAGGGAAGGCGCGGAGAACTAGAGGACGCCACACTTTCAGACAAATTCTGGTCGCTCACGGAGCAGAAGATCCCCCAGTGGAGGAAACACACGGGTGGCCAGCGCGACCCTCGTGGCCAGCGCAGCAGTTCCGCCGGCACCTCAGCGCGGCAGCTCTCTGAGCAGAGTAAACAGGTTCGGAGGACCCGCACGGGTCCCCAGCAGGACACCAGAGCCTGGCGCAGCGGCTGCGATGGGACCTCGGCGCGGTAGCGCTCGGCGCAGAGTAAACAGGACCGGTTCCCCTTCTGACCGAGGTTTGGAGCCCCGGGAAGGCAGAGTCGCCTACTACGGACACAAGAAGGAAGCCAGACAGGAGAATCCTGGGCAGAAAAACACCATCAGTTTTAACGCCGCTGCTCTGGCCCTGGGAACTAACAACCTGGACATCAACTCAAGAGACCTAATCTGAAAGTTGGTAATTTCAAAGAAGACAGGAGGATAAATTTACAATGACGGGAAGAAACCAGCGTAAAAAAGCTGAGAATACTCAAAGTCAGAACACCTCTGCCTCTAAAGATGACCACAGTTCCACATCAACAATGGAACAAGCCTTGATGGAGAACGAGCGCATCCTGATGACAGAATCACTCTTCAAGGAATGGATAATAACAAACTTCGGTGAGTTAAAAGACCATGTTGTAGCCCAACGTAAAGAAACTAGGGACTTTGAAAAAAGGTTTGATGAAATCCTATTGAGAATAGACAACTTAGAGAGGAGTATGAGTGAATTAATGGAACTGAAGAATACAATACAGGAACTCCGAGAAGTATGCACAGGTTTAAACACTCGAATTGTTCAAGCAGAACAAGGGATATCAGAGGTCAAAGTCCAACTTAATGAAATAAAACGTGAAGAAAAGATTAGAGAAAAAAGGATAAAAAGGAATGAGCAAAGTCTTCAAGCAATGTGGGACTATGTGAAAAGACCAAATTTACATTTGATAGGTGTACCTGAATGCAACGGAGAGAATGAATCCAAGCTGGAAAATACCCTTCAGGATATTATTCAGGAAAATTTTCCTAAACTAGCAAAGCAGGTCAACATTCAACCCCAGGTAATACAGAGAACACCACAAAGATATTCCTCAAGAAGAGCAACCCCAAGGCACATAATCGTTAGATTCACCAGGGTTGAAACAAAGGAGGAAATACTAAGGGCAGCCAGAGAGAAAGGTCAGGTTACCCACAAAGGCAAGCCTATCAGACTTACAGCAGATCTCTCAGCAGAAACTCTACAAGCCAGAAGAGAGTGGGGGCCAATATTCAACATCCTCAAAGAACAGAACCTTCAGCCCAGAATTTCATATCCAGCCAAACTAAGCTTCACAACCGAAGGAAAAATAAAATCTTTTATGAACAAGCAAGAACGCAGAGATTTTATTACCACCAGGCCTGCTTTACAAGAGCTTCTGAAAGAAGCATTACACACAGAAAGAAACAACCAGTATTAGCCTTTCTAAAAATACACCAAAAAGTAAAGAGCACCAACATAAAGAAGAATTTACACCAACGAATGGATAAAACAGCCAGTCAACATCAAATGGCAGTAACCCTAAATTTAAATTGACTAAATCCCCCAATCAAAAGACACAGCCAAAACCCAATGGCATGTTACATCCAGACCTGTTTCACATGCAAGGATACACAAAGACTCAAAACAAAGGGATGGAGAAAGATTTACCAACCAAATGGAGAGCAAAAATAAATAATAAATAAATAAAAAGCAGGAGTTGCAATTCTCGTATCGGATAAAATAGATTTTAAAGCAACAAAGATATAGTGGTAAAAGGATCAATGCAACAACAAGAGCTAGCGATCCTAACACCCAGATACGAGACTTAGATTCAATGAGACAGAAAATTAATAAGGATATCAAGAACTTGAACTCAGATTCGGAACAAGTAAACTTAATAAATATTTATAGAGCTCTCCACTTCAAATACACAAAATATACATTCTTGTCAATACCACATCACACCTACCCATAAGCTTAAAAGAAACATTGATTGGCCATTATTAATACCCAGTTTTTTTCAAAATAAAGCAATATTTCCATTTACTCTCCCTCTTTCTCTTCCTCTTTCTTCCTCTTCTTTACTTATTTTTTTTTTCTTTCCTTCTCTCAAAAAAAAAGAAATCAACTTGTAAACCTCTAGATCCAGGTTGGCAATGTCTCTCTCATTGCTTGATTTCTTTCCTTCCCTTCCCTCCCTCCCTCCCTCCCTCCCTGCTTCCTCCCTTCCTCCCTCCCTTCCTTCCTTCCTTCCTTCCTTCCTTCCTTCCTTCCTTCCTTCCTTCCTTCCTCCCTAAAAAAATAAATAAATAAATAAATAAAGTTTTACCTTTTCTTTTAGTTCACTCAAAGATCATTTTAAAATATTTTTCTTAAGAATAAAGATTGAGGTAGAGAATTCTGACATCAGAATATCTTTTTAGCTCTAAATCAATAGTGGCCATTTTTTATTACTGTCATGTTACTTTTGTTTATCGTAGGTTTTTTTATGACTTTCTTTGGAGAGACTGGGATGATGAAGAAAGTTGTGAGAATTATACTGCACTTATTGAAGAAAGAATTAATTTGTAAGTATAGTTTAGAAACTTACAGCACACATTAGAAAAAATAAATGTTATAATTATGTTGATACTTTTCAGGTGGTGTGATATGCAGGATGGAACAATACCTGGTCCTATTGCACAACGTTTTAAAAAAACTTTGGAGGAATATAAAAACAAACGTGTCGAGCTCATTGAGTATCAAAGCCTTGTTAAAGAAGATCCATCTGCAGCAGAGGCTGTTCAATGCTGGAAAAAATACTATGAGATAGTCATGCTCTGTGGATTATTGAAAATGTGGGAAGATTTACGCCTCCGGTAATAATTTGCTCTATTTTAAATAGAAGCAAAAGTTTACATGGCTATTACTTTATCATAGCACTTAATTTGTGGTATATGTTCTGATTAAAGTGAAGTATAAAATTAGATGTCTAATTTATGAGGTAAGCACAAGGTAAAACTATCAGTATTGGGAAATTATGTTTATATTAACTGAATTCACTGAAATCATTTCTTTTCACCAAAAGAATTCATTAATACAGTTCCTTCCTTTCATTTTAACTCTTGATTTTGTCTAAAGCATAAGAAAGGATGATGTCGACCTCCTCTATATAGAATATGTGAAGTAAATAAGCTGACTGGATTATAGCTAAAAAGTAGTGAGACATAGAGTCTGTCCACAGAACAGGTTTTAAAAGAAGCACAAAGACAGGCCATGTAAGTATATATACAGTATAACTATATATATACTGCATATAGTATATATATATATAGTATAACCTGTATATAAATAGTATATATATAGTGGATATATATACATATATATATATCTACTATATACAGTAGAAATATATAAACCAGGTTATACTATATATATAATATATATAAATATAATATATAAATATTTTTATTAATTAATATATATTAATATATAATATAATAAATATATATACACTATAAAGTATATATATAGTGTATAATAACCTGGTATATGTATTTCTACTGTATATATATATATGCTATATATAGACTATATAAATATATATATATACTATATAAATATATGTATAGTATATATAGTGTGTATATATACACTAAAGCCACATCCTCTTTGCATAAAGCAATAAAAGTGCTGCAGAGAATGCAAAACATTATACCTAGGATCATTGGCAAAAGATTATACTAAAGAGATTACTGGTAAATCCATATCTACTGGAAAAAGAGTGTCCCTTTTGGCCAACAGTAATGATAAAAGCCGACAATTACACTGACATTTTTATTCTGACTTTCTGTTGGAAACATTTAAATGATGGAGACAGGAAACAGGAAACATAAAAGCAGGAAGAAAAGAAAGAACTAATTAGAAGTGCTGAATAGCAAACAATACAAAAACAACTGGAGAGAAGCTAGAATAGTTCTGCTGGGAGGCCATTAGCCAACTATTTTATGGAGATCACATCCTTTGAAACAAAATAATGTTGTTTATGACAGAATATCATTAAATTGGGTAAAAAAGCAAAAAGAAAAGAAAAATGAAACAAAATAATGTGTTAATTGAGCATAGTATCTAAAATTAGGCATTTTCGAAAACATTCTTTTGCCTTACTATCACAGACATAACCCATCTTTGTGTGAGTCTACAACTCAATGGATTATGCAAGTACAACCAGGAAATTTTTCTCCTGTATTGGAAGGTTAAAGTGGCTGAGGCAATGGTTATAGGGGGTTACTTGCAGATTTCCAGGTACTGTGCATTAAAATGAAAATATTTTAGAGTTTTAAGGGTTTAAACACGCAGTTATCCAAAAGAACTGAATCATTACATTGCTCTCAAGTTGCTTATTGCTCTCAAGACACTTATAATTAATGAATACTATTTCTCAAAGATGCTTAGTACCAAGTTTTTATTTACTGAGTAAGGACAGGGTCAGTCTTTTTCATGTTAATTTAATTACAACTAAATCTTTTCAACTATAGAATTCATGGACCTTTCTTTCCAAGAATTCTGAGGCGTAGGAAAGGGAAAAGAGAATGTGGAAAAACTGTAACACATATTGTAGTGAAAGTGATGACTGCTGAAATGGTAAGAAATAAACTGTATTCTTATTTGTTATTTAAATATTAGCTGTGTGTAATCAGAAAAGAAGCTCCATGAGGGTAGAGTCCTTGTCTAATCATTAATGCCTTATTTTCTCAACTACCTCCAGCTCAGTTATTGCCATATAATAGATACTAAATAAATAAATGGTGACAACTATTTACTGAGTACTAACCTTGTTGCCAGGTACCATGTTAGTTGGTATGATGAAGATTCGACATAAATGTGAGGAAGGCTGCATTTAGGGGACATAAAATGTTGATCCAGATCCACAGTCTTTCTTCTTCACATACTTGAAAATTTCAGGCATGGTACAAATATGGTCACAAGTGTATAGGCAGTTACAATTATGACACAGAATGATAAATGCTATGATAAGGGTATGACGGTACACATAGGATGGACACATATGACAGAATTAGGAGTCTGGAAATGCTGGATAGAAGAAATAACTCAGCTGAATAGCTGAATCCTGAAGGATGAATATAAATATATCCAACTCAAGAACAAACAAATTTTCTAAGCCAATGAATAAATATTTTCTTCTCACTTGACCTCTCAGTAGCATTTCAAAGCTCTCTCATTGAAATAATCTTTTTCCTTGTTTTATGTTTATACTTTCCTGGTTTTTATTCTCTCTAGTTAACTTTTTTTTTCTCACTCCTCTAACTGTTTGGTACTTGTCCTTTTTATGCACTATATTATCCCAAAGGGATTTAGCTAATCTTCTTCCATAACTTCATTTGTATATGCAGGTACTTATCCAAAATGTTATTCATAGTCCAAACTTTTGTTCTAAGCCCCAAGCCTTTATGTCCAACTGCCTTTTGCTTATGACCACTTAATCACCTCACCAGTACATCAACTAACTGTCTGCAAATAATTTTATGATCTTATCCATTGACTTGCTTTTATTCTCAAGTTATCTGTTTCAGTAAATGGTACCATCATCTACTTGGTTGCTAATAACAGTTTTCTGGGAGTTATCTTGTTCATATCCCTCATCACTCTCATACACACTCATTTTTCTTCTTCACTCTCCTCACATCCTGGGATAAGCTGTGTTGTTTCCTCTGCCTGCTGAGCTACTATTCATTCTTCAGGTCTTGATTTAAACATTTCCATAGGAAAAGACCTCCTCAACCTTTCATAATACATTAGACTGCTTTATACAATTATAGCACCCTGCGTTTTTCCTTATTGGCACTTTCCTTTATCATGACTACATTTAATACTTTTGTGGCTTTCTATTGAATGTCTGTCTCTTTTACTAGTATATAAACTTCTTGAGAGCAAAGAGTGTTTACCACTCATCCTGTCACCTAGCATGATGCTTGGTACATAGTAGGTGTCCAACAATTTTTGGTGAATCAGTAAATTAGTATATATGTGACAAGAGAGGATAGTACATATGAGGAACTGACAGAAGGCCACCAAGGCTGGTAGTTAACATCTAAGAGAGTGATGAAAGATAAAGCTGGCTTATTAGACCATCTTGTTTGCTATTCTACCAATTTTTATTATTTTTGATAAAATTTAATTTTCCTTTTAACTACTTATTAGAGTATGCTATTATTCCAATAATATGGAGCACATTATTGGATATGCTCCAATATTGGAACATATTATTCAGTCATGTTAATTGTTTTACCAACATCTTTATAAACACCTTTTAAAACATCTTTGTAAAAAGTAAGGTATAAATCTTGCTTTTATCCTCAGCGTTATTTTATTTTTATTTTTACTTATTTTTTTCACTTTTAAATAGGCTCTGGCTTTATTCACTTTCTTATATGACAGAAATTTCTATGAAGTTTTTTGCTCAGTGCTGTGCAATTCTGTTTTCATTTGTGTGGTTATACTTGAACTTCAGAGGCCAGAATAATGAGAGGGAGACCACTCTGAGGAGACAGCATCATCAACTTCCACTTTACTTAGACCTTTAATTTTAGATTTACTTTTGAGGTTCATGAAATATTATAGTTAGATTGTAGTATATCTGTGCATATAAGCTTTAACAATTTTCTTGTCTTTAAAGATTCTTGACTGAGAATTCTTGCTCTATACCCATCCCTTTTGCAGTTTATTTATGCCCATCATCTTATCTTGGTGATCTTTACAAGCAGTGTAGTGGAAAGTCATGGACTTTGTAGTTAGATGCCCAATTTCAAATACCCTATCTGAGACCACTTAATAAGTAATCTTAGGCAAAGTGCATAACCTCTCTAAGCCTCAATTTCCTTACTCGTAGAATGCTTTAAAAAGAGAGAGATAAAAATATACTGTGCTAGTTAAGAGCATGGGCTCTAAAGCCAGATTGCCTGGATTCTTGGTTTTGCCAATTGCTAGTTAGATGGTTTTCAACAAATTATTTAAACCATATGTACTTTAGTTCCTCATGTGAGTAAAATTTGGGTAATAATCCTATATTCCATATTTATAGAGTAGTTGTAAAGATTACATCACATTATATTTGTAATATGCTTAGAATATTGCCCAGCACATAGTAAGTGCTCAATAAATGTTTACCACTTATTTCAGTTTCTGCACGAAAGTTAAACATAGTCATTCTCCCAGATCTAGGAAAAACAGTGGTATCCCCATTGTGTATCACAGGCCTCTATCCTCTTGTTGATCACAGGCTGTTCCTTCTTTCTATCTGGAGATGCTATAATATGATTCTGGAGAACATAGACTTTAAGATCATAAAAACCTGGATTTGATTCAGTTTTGCTTTTTTATATTTCTACCATGTAATAATAAATTACATGGTTTCTCTTATTTCCTCATCTGTAAAAGAAAGTAATGAAGTCTGTCCCATAGAGTATTAGGCTTAAGTGAAATAATTTATATAAATCTTTTAGCAAAATGCCTAGCACATAAATAAATATCAGTTGATACTATTATTACTATTTTGCAGTTCCTATCCCAATAATATAGTCATCGTTTTTTGTTAGAGTTTCCCTGTAGTGCTACAAAAGGTAATAATCATGACTGAAAATATACCAAGTATAAAGAAGAATTTAATCAGTTTTCTTTCATCTATGCTACTGATTCTGTTGCCACCTGTCTCCTCAGAGACAGTGTGCTCTCAGTTAGTCCTTCTTTTTTTTGTATCTTTTTTCCTTTATTAAAAAAACTTGAGGTGAAATTTATGTAGCAAAATTAGCTGTTTTAAAGTGACATTTAGTAGTCACAATATTGTGTACCTCTGGTTCCCAACTATTTTCATTACCCAAAACCAGAACCTCATATCTCCATTTCCTCCCCAGCTGCTGCCAACCAGCAATCTGCTATCTCTGATGTTCCTTTGATCTTTGAAGTTGCTGTCCTTTGGATGGTTTTTTTTTTTTTTTTTTTTTTTTTGCTTTTTATATTCTTTGATGCACTTGAGGGTTTAACTGTAGTATAAGGTGGGTTTAGTCAACTGGCTTCATTTCTGGAAGATGTCAGAGGTCCAATTCTCAGTTCAGTATTGCTGGGCTACATGTGCAGCCCTGGGGGTTGGTACCAGACCCACAGCACAGGTTTGTTCTCTGGCCTCTCAAGGTTAATCACCTGCTGCACTGGAGGGGCTGAGGTGTTCACAGTCTGCTAGTAACGACACTCTGATGGTGAATGCTTACCAAAGCACTTTGTTGGGGCAGTGGCAGCAGGTCTGTGCTCAGGTGTATGTGCTGACAGTGGCAGCAGTTCAGCAGGGTGTGCATGTGGCAGCAGGGGCAGGGTGCCAGCCAGGGTGAGACAGTGGTGTTTGTATGTATGCACTAGTGCTAATGGTGGCAGGACAACAGGGTGTGCATGCATGTGTGCTCGTAGGGGAGGGGTGGTGAGGTCTGCCTGCCTGTGTGTACTTGCACAGCAGTGGGGGATGATGTGGTAAGGGAAGGCTGTGGGGATCCCTCTTGATTTAGTATGTTACACCAAGCAAGTCATGGCTCCAACTTTCAGATCTTTATCAAGTTTGGTAACAATAAGAAACATGGATCCATAGTTAGAAAATTCAGTAAATATTAAAACAAACACTCAGTTCGATCTTCCTCAATGAATGACCATTCTAGTTTTATGCTTATAATTGAAATTAGCTTGACACTGGCCTGCCCAAAATTATCGTTCTCTCGCACACAGTGATCTGTCCATGGTGCCTAGGCTTTTTTACATTCTTGATAATGTCCCTTGATACATTAAAGTTTTTAACTTTGAAGAAATTTAGCTGCTTTGGTTTTAATGTTTTTGCCCCCCTCCAAAACTCAAGTGTTGGAAACTTAATCCTCAACACAACAGAGTTGGGAGATGGGGCCTAATGGAAGGTAGTTCATGAGGATGGGGCCCTGATGAATCAATCAATGTTCCTAAGAAAATGGATTATGGGAGTTGGTTCTCCCTCTGTTGTTCTTCTGCCATGTAAGGACACAGAGTTCCTCTCCAGAGTTCTTGCCTTTTGCCATGTGAAGATCCAGGCAGCAGGCAAAGGTGTCATTTTGGAAGAGAATGGCCTCAGCAGACACCAAACCTGCTAGTGCCTTGACCTTAGACTTCCTAGCCTCCAGAACTGTAAGCAATAAATTTCTTTCATAAATTACACAGTCTGTGGTATTCTGTTATAGAGCAGCATAGATAGACTAAGACAGAAATTTGTTTTTTCTTTTGTTACTCATGCTTTTACTCAGGCCTTAGAATCCACTGCCAAGTTCAAGATCATGAAGATTTACCCTTATGTTTTTTTCCTAAGAATTTTATGGTTTTAGCTCTTATATTTAGGTTGTTAATTTTAAATTAATTTTAATATATGGTGTTATGTTTAGGTTCAGCTTTATTCTTTTGCATGTAGATACTCATTTGTCCCAACACCATTTGTTGAAGAGACTATTCTTTCCCCCGTTGAATAATCTTGTAAACTTTGTTGAAAATGAGTTAGTCATAATTGAGTTTATTTCTTGATTTTCAGTTCTATCCCACTGGTCTGTATGCCTATATTTATACCA